ATCTTTTAAAATGAGTGTTCAGGCTGCAGGCCAGGCTCAGTGGCTCAGTCTGTAATCCCAGCACTTGGGAGGCCGAGGCGAGTGAATTGCCTGAGCCGCGAGTTTGAGACCTATCTGGGCAACTTGGCGAGACCTTGTCTCTACAATAAATCAAAAATTAGCTGGGCATGGTAGTGCACTCCTGTAGTTCCAGCTACTTGGAAGGCTGAGGCGGAAGGATCGCAGGAACCCAGCAGATCGAGGCTGCGGTGGCCAGGAGCATGCCACTGCACTCCAGTCTGGGCGACAGAGTGAGACTCCAATTCAAAAAAAAAAAGAGTGTCCTTCTCTGCAGTTGTGTTTTTTTAATTTTGTTTTAATAGATATGAGGTCTTACTGTGCTTCCAGGCTAAAATGCAGTGGCTATTCACCAGTGTGACCATAATGCACTGCAGGCTCAAACTCCTGGCCTTAGGCCATCCTCCTGCCTCTGCCTCCTGAGTATCTGGGACTACTGGGGTATGTGACTACACTTTAGCTAAACAACCTTTCTGGAAGCCATAGTGAAGACTTCGTCTGTCTGGCTGACTACATGCAGAAGAATGAAACTGGACTCCTATCTATCACCATATTTAAAAAAATCAACTCTAGATGGATTAAAGACTTAAATGTAAAACCTCAACCTTTAAGAATCCTAGAAGAAAATGTAGGAAACACCTTAATGCATGTCAGAGTAGGCAATGAATTCTTGACCAAGTCCCCAAAAGTGAATGCCATAAAAACTAAGACAAGTGGGACCATATCAAACTGAAAAGCTTTTGCATAGCAAAAGAAACCATCAAGAGAATAAAGTGACAACCTGCAGAATAGAAAAAATATTTGCAAATTGTGTCTGATAAATACCTAACATCTAGGATCTACAAGTAACTCAAATGAAGTGAAAGGGAAAAAAAAAAACCTCATTAAAAAGTGGCCAAGCCGGGCTCGGTGGCTCAGCCTGTAATCCCACGCCTTTGGGAGGCTGAGGTGAGTGAATTACCTGAGCCCGCGGGTTCGAGACCCGCCTGGGCAACTTGGCAAGACCTCATCTCTACAATAAAGCAAAAATTAGCCGGGTGTGGTAGCGCGCGCCTGTAGTTCTAGCTACTTGGAAGACTGAGGCGGAAGGATCGCCGGAGCCCAGCAGGTGGAGGCTGCGGTGGCCGGGAGCAGCCACTGCACTCCAGTCTAGGAGATAGAGTGGGATTCCAACTCAAAAAAAAAAAAAAAGTGGCCAAAGGACATGAATAGACACTTTTCAAAAGAAGACATACATGCAGCCAACAGACACATGAAAAATGCCCAGCCTCACTAATCATGAGAGAAATGCAAATCAAAACTGCAATGAGATACCACCTAACTCTATTAAGGATGGCCACCATTAATAAATGTCAAAAACAACAGACACTGGCTTGGGTGTGAGAAAAGGAAACACTTCTACACTGTTGGTGGGAGAGTGAACTAGTTCAGCCTCTATGAAAAGCAGTGTGGCAATTCTTAAAAGGACTAAAAATTGACCTTCCATACGATCCAACAATTTCTATCCTGAGAATATACCCAGAGGAGCACAAATCGCTCTAAAAAAGACACCTGCACACCCGTGTTTATTGCAGCACTATTCATTATAGTAAAAACATGGAACCAACATTACTGCCATCGAAAGTGGATTGTTTGGAGTATTATGTAACCATAAAGAACAAAATCATGCACTTTGCAGCAAATTGGATGGAGTTGGAGGCCATCAATCTTAGTGATCTTTGACAGAAACAAAGAATTGAATGCCACATGTTCTCACTCATAAGTGGGACCTGCATGAGTACAAGGGAGGGATTGGCAGTTGCTGGGCACTGCCAGGGGAGGGAGGAAAGGGGGAGGCATGTAACAACACAATGGGTACCTGGTCCTATACCAGGGGAGTGAGGGCCAGTTGGAGGCTCAAACTTCATCTGCCTGCAGCCTGCTTGTGTAGTTACTCCTTACCCTACATCTTATAATAAAAGAAAAAAGATTTAGTTTGTCCTTTGCATTCACATGGGCAGTGTGTTGTATGTTCACCTTCTTGTCCTCCTTCCTCCCAGTAGAGCATATAAGACTCTTTAAAAAAAACTGTGGGACTGTGAATGCTGAAGAAATATGACTCCATATCCACAGATAAAACTTACTTGTCCTAAAGTATGTAAAAGATTTGTTTTCTTGTTTATAAGTGCATTAAGAATTATTAGTTAGACTCACCCTGGAAAACCAGAGTTCTCTGCTTCAGTCTTGATAACTAGGAATCAGACTAATAGTTCCATTTAATCTTTTCCTGTAGTGTTTGATGTGACAAAGCTCAGAAGCTTATTACACATCTCTGTTGTGTACAGGTACTGACAGTACCATATCCTTCAGGGAAGCAGAGCGCTGTCCTTTGATTGTTTCCAACAGAATAGCTTTTTGCTGGTAGGCATTCCCCTTCAAGTTTTCTATTTGTAGAATAAATTTACTTAATAGCTATGTTAAGTTCCATAGGGACGTGGAAGATATTCTTTTTTTTTTTTTTGAGTTGGAGTCTCACTCTGTCGCCCAGGCTGGAGTGCAGTGGCATGCTCCCGGCTACCGCAGCCTGGACTTGCTGGGCTCTGGCGATCCTTCCGCCTCAGCCTTCCAAGTAGCTGGAACTACAGGCGTGCGCTACCACTCCCAGCTAATTTTTTGATTTATTGTAGAGATGAGGTCTTGCCAAGTTGCCCAGGCGGGTCTCGAACCCGCCGGCTCAGGCAATCCACTCAACTCAGCCTCCCAAAGCGCGGGATTACAGGCTGAGCCACTGAGCCCGGCTGGAATATAATCTTTATTAATGTCTTCTTGAGCTGGGAATGAGGATGGGAAAGCTGGTCAATGTGTTTATGTTGAGGTAAGGTATATAGTGGCAGAACATTTATTTATTTATTTATTTTTTGAGTTGAAGTCTCACTCTGTCACCCAGACTGGAGTGC